CCCTTCTCCGCCCAAGGAGAGAATGCAACCTCGTTCCCAGGTTCTCTCCTTAGGGAGCGGTAAGGGAGGGGTAGGAGAGGACCCTGGGAACATTGTTGGGCGAGTAGGAAGTCCTAGGTCTTTTGCAGCGCATTAACTCCTGCCTTTCCGGATACAGTTATTTAGTCTAGGGAGACAGGGGTAACACTACTTTTATGGTTGAATTACACGTTCTCGACAGTAAGACTGCGCGACTAATTTTAGATCTTTCCTTGTGTGCCTCTACAAGCGACGCACTTGGGAGACTCCATTGGAAACCTTTACAGCGCCGGAGGGCCGAGCACCCCGCTATTTTTACCCCGCGGGGGGACTCCTCATATGAAAGGGGTGGGGATGCTCGACGTCTCGCTTAGGGGTGTAAATTTCGGATTTTGGTCTCATTTAGAGTGTTCTGGGCAAAACGCCATCATATTTAGCCGTGCGGGTCTCGTTTAGGGTTGCTCACGAAAAAATATAAAAATATGTATTTGATATGTTTTTATTTACTCCATTCATATAATCCAAGTTTTCTCATTTATGTGTGTTTTAACAAGGTCTCTTTTAGAGTTGCTCACGAAAAACTATAAAAATATGTATTTGATATGTTTTTATTTACTCCATTCATATAATCCAAGTTTTCTCATTTATGTGTGTTTTAACAAGGTCTCTTTCAGGGGTCAAAAAAAGCTTGGGCACGCCCAGATCGGTCTCCTTGAGGGGTTTAATTCAAAATTTCCGACGAGCATCCCCACCCCTTTCATATGCAGAGTCCCCCCCCCCGGGATTTTTACTTACTTCTATATTAACCTTTTTATGCATTCGGGTCAATGTTTGTTTAATACTAGTTTTCATAATTATAGTACTAGATCTAAGCTTAATATTCGAAGATCTTCCGCTTCTACTTTGCTGCAAATATTATTTGGAACGCCTTGGGACATATCTTGAGTCAAACGCCCTCCTTAGCAGCTTTAAGGCGCAGGATATCTAAAGCTAAATTTTAATTCATACTTCTATCCTGTATTATAGAGCATTTTATTTTGTACTCATACTTCTATCCTGTTATTATCGCGTTTTATATTGTAATTTATAAATATATTTTGTAGGCTTTGATTTTTTGTTAAAATAACGTATTAATTTTTAGCTTGATAGTTTAGACTTATAAGAGGACCCTCTGTAAACCACTTAATCAGTAAAGTTGGCTTCCTCATTAAAGATTGAATTATTATTATTTTTTAAGCAGGGTACCGTAAAATTCCGAAAATAAGCCCATTTTTTGTTTGAGTGGACGCGAGGGTGCCGCTGTGTGTGGTGGGTGGCTGTGTCGGGGACTGCCGCGCGCGCTCTAACAAAAAAAAAAAAACAGACCGAGAAACACAAAGGGGGGGGGGGGGGGGGGAGGAGGGGGGGGGGGGGGGGGGGGGGGGGGGGGGGGGGGGGGGGCAGATATTAAATGCAATTACCCA